CCTAGCAGCAGACTTCGAAGCAGGCGGGACAGGTCCGCCGGCCTGCAGAACCGGTGGCTGCGACTCACGACTTTTGACCGGGGCAACAAGTACAGGTGTCTGGTTGAAAGTCAAGGTCTCAGAAGGAGGAGCGGCGGAAGCCCCAACAAGCCAGAACTGTGGGCCCAGGGTTTTCAGTACCCGCAACGGCCAGCCGATCTTCTTTGCCCAAAGGAGAACCGCTTCGGTGGTGGCCCCAGGCGGTAACGGGCCTAACTTGTACAGAGCTCGCACATCAAAGGATTCTGGGACAGTGTCCCCAGGTCGAAGTTGGCGGAAAATCCGGGCGAAATCCTTAGTGGGAACCCGCACGCCACATCTGCCCTTGCTCCGTACCAAACCATGCTGCTCTGGGAGCAGAGTTGCCTGGCGCTCAATCTCGCCACGGGAGGCAGACAGCCAAATGACAGACCAACCCTCAAGCACAGTGCGATTCCAGCCTTTGGGCAGCAAGTACACCTTGTTGAAACCGCTCAGCTTGAGCAGTGGTGGCAGGAGGGATTCCTGGACCTTGGCCTGAAAAAGGAAGGTATCACAGTGAGCTGGCTGACTAGGGCGGCCCGCAGCTCGAAAGATTCGGCCCCATGGGTGCGTGAAAGGCGCTGTCTGGCCTTTTGCACGAAATGCCTGCACAACCGTGCGTACAGGGGCACGGACAGCCTCTTGCCAAGCAGCTTCTGTCGGGCACTCGTCGCGATGCATGCTGAAAGTGCAACACACCGTACCTGGCAGCTCAACCTGGCCACCATGCTCCACAAATGGTGTGACGGCAGTTTCACCCACATTGTGGTAACACACGGCAAGAAGATGCTTGCAGCCAGTGGCACGGTGCACGACTGGTGCACTGGCCTTGCCGCTACAGGTATCAGGATCAGGACACTGATGCCCCGGTATCACGACACAAAGCGCATCCGCACTAATGTTGGCAAGCAGGGCCAAGTCCTGAGGATTGGCCTGACTAGGCTCCATCATGATGACCCCTGAAGCGTCTGGACCAATGGACTCAAGCACAGGCACTGGCTGATCATCAATGCCACACCAGGTGCCCTCAATCAGACAGAAATCCTGTGCGACAACCGGGCTGGCCTGAGCAAGCTTGCGCCGCCGCACGGCCTTCTGGATGCGCTGGGCCGCGCGTTCAGTGCGATTATCGCCTACCGGCCACTGCTGACCGTGAGCCTTTGCATGAGAACTCAACTGCTGCCACTGCGCACTGGATCCAGTGAGGGCCATGGCAGCAAGGCAAGTGGTAGCGCCAACAGCCTGAAGCAAATTTTCGACAGCAACTGTGGCCTGGGCCAGAGGCACACCTCTCTCGAGAAGAAGAGTGGCCATTTTGGTCTTGGCAAGCTGCTGATTTTCATCCTTCACACCGCCGCCCCTGGTTTCAGGAAAGATCGACAGGACTGGACTTTGCGTGGCCGACTGAGTATGGAATGCGGCAACTGCTCGCAGATCAGCAAGAGTATCATGATACGGCAGTCGCCGTGGTCCTGAAAAGACCTGAGCATTGGGCCAGCACCCAACTGCAACACACGCCTGATGCCACATGCGCTCCAAGCACTCAGGGGTAAGATCCGCTGACAAGGAGAGCGATCTCAGGTTACGCGTCTGCACCTGGACAAGGAAAGGGCCGATGCGATCCGAGTCGGTCGCTGGCAGCAGCTGGGCCAGGAAAAGCAAGTCCCGCAGGAAGACCCGAACAGTACTTTCCGATGCAGCAGGGCCCTCATCAAAAGGCGCAGCAAGCAAGTAGAAAGCCGCGGTGCCACACACAGGGGCAGGCACCGGCGAAAGTGTCCAGCCAATGCACTCAAGGAGATGGTAGGGGGCACGCAGAGCCCACTCAGTCTCATGCCCAGGGGCGATGCACAACAGCAGGCCGCGCTCATGATCCTGGACCTGACATGCAGCAATCTGCGCCTCAGTGAAGGCAGGAGCATGGTGGTATATGTGGTCTGCATCAGCTGCAACAAAGAACTGCTTTGGCAAAGCCAGTACATCGGTATACTTTTCACCAAAACAAGACAAGCAGGCTACAGCAGTTGAAGCCCCATCGCGGCATTTGTCGAAGACCCACTTAAGTTGGTGAAGGAAATCAGGGCAACCCGAGCAACACAGATACTGCCCCGTGGCAGCAAAAATCCGATGAGGTGTGGCAGTACCATGCAACTGATGTTTGCGCACATCCAGGGCAATGATTGGCAACGCCTCAACCTCAATGCGAAAGGTCTGGCTCGGGCCGACACCAGCAACCGGCTCCAGGCTCAAAGGTGCCGGGACTTCGAGGGCGCGCAAGGCCTCTTCAGCAGTTAGATGCGACGTGAATCGGATCACCTGCGCAGTCTCAAAAGCGCCGCAGTCCAGCCATTCACCAAGATGCAACTCATGAAAGACTTGGCCGTTACTCAAGAGCAAGCTTTCAATCTGCACTCGAAGCGACTCTCGGGACAGCGCAAGACCAACCCTATCCAAGCGAACCAACAGCCAACCCAGCCGAACCCGAACTAAAACCGAATTATTGGCATGAAGACGATTCAGCTGAGCATACTGCACCACACTAGCCGGCGATACTGTCGGGCATCCAGGGAAGCAACGGACGGCGTGTGCCAAAACAAGGGCAGCTTGCGGGACAGCCAGGGCGTTACCGAGTATCTGCATGCACACAGCATCGTCCTCAACAAAGAGCTGCTGGCGTTGAGCCCCGTGGCACGAAGCAATCTCTGGGGCTGAGAAGAACCTTATCTTATCATGAACCCTCAGCAGACTACACAATAAGCCTTTGCGCTCCAGCATGCCTGGTGGCAAATCATGTTGCTTGTGATACATCGCCATGAAAGTGCGAGCCTGCTGGCCCGGTGTACATGTCCTAAAACGCTGAACCGTTGCTGCATCGTGAGGCACTCCAGGCGGAAGGTACCATGGATCCATGTACTTGGACAATGTGTCGGCATCTAGCTCACAAGGCCGCAGCACAGCAGCAGGCAAGATGCGAAAGTAAGCATGCATGGCATAAAGGGATGGGCGCGGGTGAGGCACCCACATTTGGGTCTGCACCCTAAACCCTAAACCCTAAACCCTGAACCCTAAGCCCTAAACCCTAAACCCTGAACCCTAAGCCCTAAACCCTGAACCCTGAACCCTATAACCCTAATGTCACCCAACTATGACAAAGACCTCAAGGTCGGCCATGACCCGCTCTGTTTCAGTGACGGCTGGCCGGCTCTGAGGTTGAAGTTTGGGCTTTGGAGTTATCGTTTAGGGTTTCGGGATCTAGGGTTTATGGGGTTATCGTTTATTGTTTAGGGATCTAGGGTTTATAGGGTTTAGGATTTAGGGTTTAGGATTTAGGGTTTAGGGTTCAGGGTTGGGGTTTAGGGCGAAGGGTTGGGCTTTTTTTGTTAAGGGTCCCTTTTCGACTGCAGATTCGAAAGCCTCATTTCAGGCGAGCTCTGTAGGGCTCATTTTTTGGGTTTAGGGTTTAGGGCCGTGGGTTTAGGGCCCCTCAACCCGAAAATTGAAGCCCCATGCTCCACACAGGTTCTGAACACTAAAGTCTTTCCTAAACCCCAACACCCTAGAATACTCCTTGTGAAATACAATCAGGGCCCTATGGTACCCGTCAGCCCTCCCTTGCACCCTCGCATGTCTGATGTAGGAACCTGATTACGAAACCCTGGGCCTAGAACCCCAAATCTAGTAGGATTCATAGATATAGTCATATAAGGAACCCTAATAAGAGCCCAAGGTTTCCAAATCAGGTTCCTACATCAACCCCCCCCAAAACCGTTACAGTACCATTTAAAGGAACGCTTATACAACCCTTGTAAAGGTTCAAGGTTTCGTAATCAGGTTCCTACATTGCTATAGTACCCTTACAGTAACCCGTATAGTCGCTTTTAAAGGAACCCTACTTGGACAATCATGCGACTTAGTAAGTAAGGTTATAAATAAGGTAACTCTACTTATACTTATCTATAACCCCACGTAAGGTACCTATAACCTTACTTACTAAGTCCCAGGATCCTCCAAGTCATGCATGCCCTTCTCGGCCCCATCGTTGCCCTTCGCTCCTCACGCCCCGTGGCCGTGGACGCCGTGGAGGGCCGCGAGGACTCGCCAGGTTCGCACGCGGCCTTAGAGGCTGCTATAAGGGTTCCTTTAAGGGATCTATAAAGTCTATAGAGGTTTAGGGTTTAGCTTCCTTTTTGGGGTTCATATTCAGAATCCTATAACGTAAACCCAAAAACGAACTACTATGAGGCTTATGGGTAGACCATGGCCTTTGAGGCAGCAAGACACAAGAGTTTCTTAAAGGCTTCCTTGAAGGGTTGTATAAGGGAGTTCAGGAATAGTACCATCAAAGGGAGACCTACACTAGACCCAAGAGTAGCCTAGGAAAAAAAACGGTGCCCTTTTTGGTTTAAAGGGGCTTATACGGTAACCTGAACCCCAAAAAAGGGAATAAGGGCCTACTCTAGGTCCTAGCCTTTGCTGCAGCAAATGCGTTGACATACCGAGCAAGTTGAGGGCTTTCCTGAGCCCCAGTAGAATTGCTGGGATATCCCCCGAAACCCTATAGGCCCTATACTCTGCATCATACACCCCTAAATCCTGAATCCTATCCCCAACTAGGGCCGGTGGCCCTCTCCATCTGCATCCGATTCCAAACGCTAAACCCATGGGGGCCTCGGGGTCGAAGCTGCGCCCCTTTCACAATCCGAGGAACGACGTGTGAGTCCGGGTTTAGGGTTTAGAGTTCAGGGGTTTAAGGTTTAGAGTTTAGGGGTTTAGGGTTTAGAGTTTAGGGGTTTAGGGTTTAAGGGGTTTAGGGGTTTAGGGTTTAGGGTTCATGTGAGTCAACCAAACCTGAACCGCTTGCACCATGCCCTCAAGAGATGGTTTCGGAACGAAGCACCCGGAGCAGCTTCGGGCCTCCCACTTCAGCGACGCCCCAAGCCTCAAACCACTCGAGCCCCTAATTCCCTAGGGAGGCAAACGGCACGTGCTGCCGTGAACAGGTGTTGAACATCTACACCTGCACTGACGTCGTCAACAGAGTTCATCTCGAGCAGCGCCTTGATGTCAGCAGCCGACCCACGCGCTACGGCTTTGGGCGCCGGCGGCGCAGGAGCATCCTTCTTGCGCAGAATGTCTAGGCGCTCGAACACCTTGTCCATGTAGTCACTGAAGAGCAAACTCGCACGAGCTGCATTCGAGGATATGCGAAGATTCCACCTGTCCGGCTCCGTGCCGCAAGCCTTCTGTTGCAGATTGTGCAGGGGCAAGGCAAGACGAAAATGGCGCGTCTTGCGCTTTCCAGCCTTCTTTGCAGCCTGCTGATCGAGCCCATAATTCTCTTCCTGGTCTCCAGCGCACGTGTCGAAGTTCTCCCAAAAAGTTGAAGCAGCCTCCGGGCTCCACGAGTAGAACAACCAAGAATAGTTCAGGTCCGTTGTGAACTCAGAGAGCTTGTGAGCAGGGGTGTGCACGCGATGCAGGGACCAGAAAGACTCGGCCAAGTAACCGTGCAAGGTAGGCCCGGGGATTCGCGCGCACGCTTCGCACAGTTCAGCACTGCGGGTGAAACGTGGGTGCTCGTACATGACGAGCAGCCGTTCCCGTAGTCCTAGAGGATCCGCCTCCCCCAAGGCACGTATGAGCTCCTCCATGTGCACAGCCCCGCAGATGCCGATGAACGGGGCATCCACCAGAACCGTCGTTCGATCCTGTCTCAAGACTGCACGACTTACAGGGCAGGCTACACCAATCGGGACATGGTCCAAAGAGCACAAACAGACAACCGCACACAGTTATAGACGAACTCCATCCCTAAAACAGTAGGCCGCGGTCTACTGAGAGACAAGAGGCACGGGTCCTTCACTGTCACTTTGTCCCACACGGTGCGATCGGTGAGCTGCGTCACCAGACTTTGCGATCCCGCGGACTGCTCTGTTATCCAGTTCAGAAACACGGAGCCCTCCACCAGGAACGCAGCCGCACGTGAGAGGTTCTGTGGCTCGGACATGCGGCCGACCACACCGTCCACCGAGCCGGAAGTAAAGCCCATGCGCATCTCAGGCGGAGCTTGGAACCGAGGTCGCTTGGCCGCACCCTCCTCTGGACCCTCGGCACGCGCGTTGGCACGCTCCATGGCCGCCTCATGGCGTTCTTTGGCGCGCTGCTTCTGAAAGTCGTTTTCCCAGAGCTCGATCTGCCGCAACACTTTGCCGTACGTGGACATAAGCCCACTGGTTTGCGTTGCGCCCGGGTGCAAAACAAAGGCCCAGGGCATCGTGAAGAGAGGTAGCGTCTTTTCCGCGTAAACGACAGACGTGGGCGCAAGAAAGGAGGCCGCACACACGGACACGGGCACCGACAACGAGTCGGCGACCAGGCCACAATGCTGCATGAGCTCTGGCAGCAAGGCCGTCAGATCGGCTTTGGGAAAGCTGACATCGTGCGCGTTCTTGAAGGCCTCCAAAATTGTCTTCTCATCGGCTGTGGCTCTCCGCATCGTGACGCAGGAGCCAATCGTGCTAGGGTCACTTCAAGATACACAGCTTGAGCCGGACTCTGCAGCCGGGAGCAGGCATGTCAAGCAGACGGTTTCGGTCACACAGGGCAGGCACACGATTGTCGTGATTTTCGCGAGGCTGCACTCTTCGAAGCAGCAGAAACCGAGTACCAGGTAGGACCTCCGACGTGTCTACCAAGCTGCATGTGCAACGAACACAAGACGAGGCCGGAAACGAGCATGGCAGCACACAACACTCACAGAGTGCAGACACATCAGCATGTGCACGCGGGCCTTGTTTTCTCGTCGCTATATGAGATGCACGGGACGAGGCCCTGGCACGCTGCCTAAACAGTTTCTGTATTGAAACGAACCCAAGACTCGCCACGTGCAACCAGCAGCGAGCGAAAAGACTCAGGAGGCTGCCCTCTGCGCTGAATGGAACAGCTCCGATGCACGGCTTCGCCGAAAATCTCAGAAGCACCCGGCTTTGAGGCAGAGCGAGCGATTGGCAACGCTCATGTTCACGGCCATTGTGGCTTTCTTCGGAAAGGAAGACCCACAAGCCAGAACGTGGGCACCCGGCGTCTGCAAGCGGTGCAGCTTCCAATCACGGCAGTTGAGCACGAACTCAGGGCTGGACTCGGAGGTGCTCCTATCCATCGCGGAAGGTACGGGCGCAACAACTGCAAGACCGACATCTGCAGAACACAGTCCGGAGCTGGAGGGTACTTCCGGCATCGACGGCTCCACCGAAACGGCCGTGTCATGGGGCCCTGCTGCTAGGGCACTGGCTGAAGAAAGTCCAGCAGCGGATTCTGCAAGATCTGTTCCAGGGCTGGCACGTGCGACCAGCATCGCAGGCCGGACCGGAACCTCTGCATGCTTCGTCACGATCTGCGGCCAGCGGAGTACCTGGGGAGAGTCCTCTCGCCAGCCCTCCAACCTGCCGTCGTGACACGAAGCGTCGCTTTCGGCCCACCCGCCGCGGAGCACACGGTCCTCCTCGGGCTGAGTTTCGAGCGAGCACCAGGATCAGGAAGAAGATGCGATGCCGCACAGGCTTCATCGGATTGGCGACGTAGACCAGCCAGCGAACCCATGCGAAGACCTGCAAGCACAGGTAAGCTGCGGTGCTGAAATGCAAGAGTATAAAAAGGAGCTGCATTCTTGACAAGCGTCCGCGGCGGACATCGAGCACGTGCAACACACCTACACACGAAAAAATGCCACGACTTACGACTGAATCAAGACATCATGATAGGAAGCCCTTAATTAGATCTAGCAGACCAACCACACACCACTCAAGGCAAGGCACCTGCTCTTGAACCTCGGTGTTAACATCGGTCAAGACCTCATGCTTCTCCTTCAAAACCTCCGGCAGGTAGTAGGAGCTCCCGGGGTTCAAGCAAGCCGTGTGATTTTTCACGTGCGAGCACGGCAGGAAAAAGACACAGGGTGCGAAAGCCGCGCACAATGGCCCGGAATCCGGCCGTTTCTTGTTCCGGCAGTAGCGAGCCAGAGCGTGGGCATTGTCGTAGCACAAGAAAGTCTTGTTCGGCAAGCTCTCGTGCCTTGGCAAAGGAATACGGCACCTGCGGCAGACTTTCCGACCCTACCATGTGATGCAGGAAGACGATGTGTCCACACGGAAGTGAGACCACGAACACTCCCGCGTACTTGCGCACGGCCACGCGCTTGCGATCATCCTTGGCGCAGCGACAAGCATCGATCGCCGTGTCCGATGCGTGCATGCGAAGCACGGCAGGACTCGCATCACGGGCACCACCCTGGCCGCTCTCGGAGCCCGACCCGGCCGCGGCATCCGCCTCATCATCCAGAGCTGTCAGCAGATTACGAGAGTCGTACTGACGGAGCCGTCGTTGATCCACCTCCTCGACTGCGACAAACTCTGTGTCACCCTTGTAGCGAAACTGTAAGTTCCCCTGCGTCGTGATGCGATGGCAGTTAATCTCCGGCATCACGGGTGGGTTCAGCAGCTGGTGGCGCTTGCAGAAGAGGCTGCCGCGGCAAGGGCGCTGGGAACATCCCAGAGGAATCGTCAACTGTAAGAAGTCTGCCTGCAGGGTCGCCGACGAACGCTCGTTGCAGAGCCTGGTCGTAAGCTTCATCCCCCCGTCCCCTGCAAGTACAGGGTTGGCGCAGGCACTGCAAACATGTGCGACTGCCTGTGAGGACAGCAGCAAGGACAAAGACGGCTCCAGACTACACAAGGTCGTGTCGAGTGAGGCAAGTCGGATGTCGATGGTCCTGGTCTTGCCGATGCACGCCGTAGTGTCCAGTCGGTTCAGCGTCTCGAACAGGAACCAGCCGTGCTCCAAGACCCGATGACAATCGTTAGGCTCCAAATGCTGCTCTGGGAAAAGCTCTGGGAGCATCTTCGCGAGGCCACGGAAAGAAGCCCGCAGGTGCAAGAAAGATGCCCCTATCCATCGGCCGACAGAAAAAAACGGATTCGATTGGTAGTTTCAAGCGGATTGGGTCCGATTGATATTTTCAAGCGGATCCACTAGTTTTCTGTGAAAACCAAGCGAAACAAAAACCTAGCGGGGAACCAATAGCAGCATATAGCAAAAACCAAGCGGAGCATTCAGGAGCACGGGTGTTTGACCGGGCTTGAAGCCTGCGATTTCTGGTTTCACAGGTTTTCACAGATCTTCACAGGTTTTCACAGATCTTCACAGGTTTTCACAGATCTTCACAGAATTTCACAGATCTTCACAGAATTTCACAGATCTTCACAGACTAATCTGTGAAGATCTGTGAAATTCTGTGAAAACCTGTGAAATTCTGTGAAAACCTGTGAAGACCTGTGTGCTTCAGAATTCCGGGTTGGGCTCGATGTTTTTGGTGTGCTGGGCACGGGAAACCAAGCGAAATCGTTGATGAAAAACCTTGCGGAATCGATGATAAAAACCTAGCGGAGAACCTAGCGGAGAAAATAGCATCCCAACCGATTCCTAGCGGGTCCGATAGAAAATGCCAAGCGCACATGGTATTTTCAAGCGCAGCAGAATCGATTGGTATTTTCAAGCGAAATCCAGTGTTTTTTCAAGCGTGCGATGGTTAGGGGCGGTCATGAACCGGAGGTAGTCGACACTCAGAGCCACCAGTGCATTCGCGTGGAAGCGAGTCTTCATGAAGAACCAAGAAGCATGGCTGGGCGCACAGGCAAGACGCGGGACGTCGGTGTCGCCCTCTGCGCGCCCGCAGCACCAGCATCCAAGGAACTGGAGCTTGCAGCCACGGCAGCTGCGGCCGCGAAGCTCCAGCTGCTGCACACCGTGGCGATACGACAGCCCCAGTGCTCGGCAGCGCAGGGTTCCGCTCGCCAGCGCAGGCGACCCCTCGCAGAAAGGGCAGCACTCCAAGGGAGTGGACACCACCTCCACAGCCATGGGCTCCTACGAAAAGCAGCAAGACCCAAAACCCGGAGCCTGCAAACTGCGACATTCACAAGCAAGGAGGCGACCAAAGGCTGCCAACGCAGAGAGTACAGCAGAATCCGAAGGCGTATCGAGAGGCAGGTCTTTTCCTGGCGCGCAGAATTAAATCCCGGAGCTCAAGGTGAGTTTGCTTGCTTGCAAACCGGAAAGTGAGTCTGCCTGCTCGCAGGCGAGAGCATGCGTCTATACTTGCAGCACAAGACGCCAGGGTGCCTGGGTGCCACAGCCAGCACAGACTGGAGCCTGTCGCAGCTTGACTGGCCTCGCCCAACACACCATGGGTTCAAAATGCCAGCACGCCAGCGAGGACGCAGCCGCAGCCCGCGTTCCAGGGGCAGCACCTCGGCGGGGGCTGCAGCAGGGCGCTTACGTCCATGCTCATCATCCGCAGAGGAGCAACCCGACTGCTCTGCGTGGACCGCTTGCTTGGAATGCAAAACGTCGCGCGTCAGGTTGACGAACTTCACACTGCCCCGTCGATTTCCAGGGAACCACGATATAGGTGTGGGATAGACCTCCACGTCTGCGAGCACCCAAGCGAAAACCTTCGAGTAAGAGACAACGGAGAAATCGGTGATACGATGCTTAGCGAAGTTTACGTCGTTGCACTGCACAAGAAGTCTGCAGCGCCTGCGGGCGTGGCGTCCCTCGGCACCAGGTCCCCAGCTGCATTCCTCCGAGCCACAAGGACACAGTCCACGATCGTAAACGCCCCCACCAGAAGGTTGCTCTGGGATGCAGATCCTTCCACGCTTGTGACAGGGCTCGCCACGAATTTCCCACGTCTTGCCATTTTCCAAAACTTCCCGGCAACACTGCTGCTTGATGAAGAGGGCCTGCGCAGGAAGCGCCGGCGCTGCCAGCGCAGAAGCCGGCAGCACGAGTGGCCGGTCGGGCATGCGGCTTGTCGCCGGTGCCCTGTGTTCCCCGCAACCCTGCACTCGGGCCAGCTGTAGCAGAGAGGGGAAAGGGTCGGGATCAGTCGACAAGGCAAGTGCGCGAAACAACAGCGGCCGCATGAGGCCGAGCATCTCAGGCAACGCAAGACCTTTTGTTTCTCGCGCCGAGCGATCAGGCCCTGCAGTTGAGGAACGGGGAGCACAAGAACAGGAGCCATGATGGCAGCCGAGAAGCTGCGGCGTGCACACGTGAAAGGCGGCAGCCAGAATGGAGCAAGCTCGACAGCGCACGGCCGGAGCGATGCACACGTGAGTCATGAAGTGAGAAACTCGCAATCGTCGCAACCCAGAGGCAAAGGCAGACAGCAGCAGTAGAGATTTTTTTCCAGCAGGCCTGTTTTACTGTGCACGGCCTCGACCTGGCGAACCGCGTCCCGCGGCACGCCGCTTTTCAAAGGAGGCCGAGCTGGCGGAGAGCGGCACCTTCCTGGTTCTCAATTACTCGTCGCCAGCGCTGGATCACGTAGCCCCGCTGAGCTGCATTGTCTTCTCGAAGCACCGCGACCTGCAACAGCACACCACAATGGCCTATGGAGACATGAAACACGCAAAAGCACATGTCAACGTCGTGCCTCACGCCACATCCTCAAGAGCTTCGCCGGCTCGAGGTCCTCCGCAAAAGCTTCCTCCGCAAGATTTGGCGGCACGTGCGCGAAGAAGACGGGTCGGAAGAGCGGCGCTGGCGTAGGGTGTTCCAGGGACGGCACCAGGAAAGATGCCTGTGGTTCACTGTGCATCTTGGACTAACTTCAAAGACCGCACCTAGAAGAATGCACTTCGAACAATGTCTTTAGTTTCGGAGCCGATGCAAGGAATCGATGGCGCGAGACTCGGATTGCTCCAAATCCTCGACCATATCCTGCAGCTCGGATGCGGAACGGGATTCCTCGCGGAGACAAGCAAGGCCTGCACAAGGCACGTGCGCAGACACAGAGAGACACACAAACATACGCACACACACACACACACAGAGACACGCATACACACACACACACACACACACCCACGCACGCATACACACACACACACACACACACACACACCCACGCACGCATACACACACACAGACACACACACACACGCACACAGACACACACACACACACACACACCACACATACACACACAAACATAGTTCATCACTCGCCGGCCGCGAGTCATGTCCAGGCCTTGTCGCCAGCAAGTTCTCCGAGCATCCAGGGACAAGCTTGCCACTTCGAGGAAACGCATGCTCGTAGGGGTCACCGGCAGGCGGTGCTAGCAAGGGTTGGAATGCTAACCAGCCGAAGCTGCAGAGACGCATTTGACAAGGGTGCAGCGAGCTGGCCTGCAAGACAATGACGTCGCACTGCACACGTTGATGACCTGCCTACCCCCCGAGGTTTGACAACATGGTTGCAGAGAAAAAGAAGAAGTAACAAACTGGACTCGACTCGGAACTTGCAATCTCTCCAGGCGCGGGCTGCTGCCCACCTCCCTCCCCGTTGCTGCGAACGTCTCGCCCGGAACACGTCCTGGCCTTTTTTTGTCGGCCTCGAACCATAACTGCGTCGCCACTGCACTTAGGGTTTAGGGTCTAGGATTTGGGGTTTAGTTTAGGGTATGGTCCAAGGGATCTCAGGACTCATGCATTAAGGCTTTTGGGCCCAAAGACCATACTATATAAGGCTTTTGGGCTATGTTGATCCCTAGGGATTGGGATCGACCAAAGCCTAAAGACTACAACTCCTCCCAATACCGCTGGCCCCTGCACCATCCAAGCCTCTAAAGCCCTAATTCTCTAAAACACCCCAGGCCCTAAAACCCGAAACCCCTAAAGCCTAAACCCCAAAACCCCTAAACCCTAAACCCCTAAACCCTAAACCCGTAATCCCCTAAACTCCTAAACCCGTAACCCCCTAAACCCCTAAACCCTAAACCCCTAAACCCCAATCCCCAAAACACCAGCCCAAGTCAGGTGGCCGGATCCAGCTGAAGGGCTGGCTTCATGTTCTCGATCGGCTCATCCCTGTCTCACGCTTTCCCTACTTGCAGGCGCAGGGGACTTAGTAAGTGGTTAGGCTCCTTCAAGAGTTCCTTAAAAAGGGATCTATAAGGGTTCTATAAGGGGGTTTTAGGGTTACTTGGCGGCCCAGGGGACTTAGTAAGTAGTAAGGATCCTGAAAGAGTTCCTTAAACGGAGGGTAAGGGTTCAATAAGGGGGTTTTAGGGTTACTTGGAGGCTCAGGGGACTTAGTAAGTAAGTTATAAGTCGGGTTATAATTGGGGCAACTCCAACTAGGGTACTTATTTCCCTACTAAACATCTACTTTCTAAGTCCCTTGCGCCTCCAAGTAAGCATCTAAGGACTCATGTATTAAGGCTTTTGGGCCCAAAGACCATACTATGTAAGGCTTTTGGGCTATTTTGATCCCCAGGGTTTGTCGTCATGGCGATATTTGGCAAAAACACTGGTTCATGGGGGGGTATAGGGAATGAGGGATTTCAGTGGATTCCGGTGTCTTGGGGCTTTTTGGGGTTTCAGGATTTGGAGTTTCCGCTTCCAGGTTTTACGATTAGGCTTCCAAGGTGTTTCCGAGTTCACCCTTGTGTGGTAGTGCCGATGGCTCCAAATCCAAACGAAAACAACACAGCCTAAAGACTACGGTAAGGGTAAAAGGACCTAGTAGTAGTTATGTAGGTTACTATTTGGGAGAGTATATGATTGGAGAGTATATAATTATTGGGCACTTGGACCCTTAGGACTATTGGTAACATCAGCTTGCCTCGAGATAAGACCTGTGCTACCGATAGCAACTTTAGTGTGCTGACATGCAGCATGCTGGCAAAATGGTTTAAGTCGCGTCCAAGCAGACTTATCTAGTTATCCTTGCTGCTTGAAACCCTACTTAGCCCCAACTGCCTTGGAAGGGAAGCAGGCAATACATGTGTTGGAGACCCCTTGACAACAAACTGCAACAAAAACGGAACACGCCAAACAGGGTGCCCAGAGCCGTAGGCCGAAGAGTCAAGATCCGGATATTGCAGGTAAACTTGTAGACTAAGAGTTGCTTGTAAGGCTCGGAGGCCCTGGGCTCAAGGATTTTGAGGTTCATGGCTTTCACCGTATCTGATGAAGCCCTGTTCAACCTAAAGCCCTAGCAGTCCTAACACTCCAAAACCCTAAATCCTGCAGCAGAACCCGTTTCTGCAACACAATCAAGCCCGGATGCTCGCAGGCAAATCGGGAGTACTTCTGCGGGGACACAAAAGGCCTCGGAAGGAGAGCGTATGGCCTTTCTCACGAACTTAAACCCTATAAGCCTTAGATGAATACGATGATGCTAAGCGTGATGTGCTAGCCACCAAACATGCCAGTTTCTGCTACTGAAGTACTGTTAGTGTTGCTTCGGCTGGGCACTACGGCCGTGATATGCCCAAAATCCTAAATCCCAAACCTTTAAACCCTTAAACCCTCAACCCTGAATATTTTTTTACGCCCGAAATCCTAAACCCCTAAACCCTAATCGGCGAGAACTGCTCTGGGCTATGGGTTCAATTCTGGGCCCCTGAGGCTAACAGATTCGGCTCAGGGCCTCTCCCCCGGAGAGCGCCAACACTTGACTCATGGGTTTAGGGGCTAGGGTTTAGGGGTTAGGGGTTCTAGGGTTTACGGATTAGGGCTTAGATTTAGGGATTAGGATTTAGGCTTTTTGGGTTTTAGGGTTTAGGGATTAGGAATTATGGGTTTAAAGGTTTACCAGGACCCCCCAAGGGCCCTTTAATGGAGCCCTTATGGTCCTGAATAGTAGGTTTCCAAGGCATATTAAAGGGCAGTTGGTGGGTCAAAGTAATTAAGGTTTATACTTGGGTTTAGGGTATAGACGGCATAAATGTTCGTGGTGGTGGTGGTGGTGGTGGTGGTGGTGGGGGTGGTGGTGGGGTGGTGGTGGTGGTGGTGGTGGTGGTGGTGTGGTGGTGGTGGTGGTGGTGTGGTGGTGGTGTGGTGGTGGTG